AGCCGTCATTGTTGTTTGGCGGGTCCGGGCTGGATTTGAACCCACCACCTTAGGTGTATGTGGCTGGTGCCTTAGCCGCTTGAGCCACAGGCGCCGAGCCTCGGGGTCCCTCTTACCAGCTGTGTGACCTTAGTAACTCGCTGAACTTCCCTGTGTCTCAGCGTTTCATCCGTATAACATGCTAATTCCTCAGATTAATTTTTCAAGTCAGATAAGGCCTCTCCTCTCGTGTTCGGGGCGCCCAAACAGGTCCTAGCGGGTAACGCTGAAAATGAATCCTTCAGACCACTCTCCTCTCGGGAAGGCGTAACGATCCCCTTTCTCTCCAGGTCTCGATTGCCCTCCTCCAGCCGTTTCAAAAGGCAGCGACAGAGCCCTACTCAGCCGGAGGCAGAACACGGCGCCCGGGGCCCGGCTGCGGTCCCGACCCCGCCTCTCATTGGTTCGCACCCCTCCTAGACCCGCCCCTTTCCTGGCAGGCTCTGCCCCGTCCCCCCAGTTCTTCCGGGTCCGCCTCTAGCTGCTGTTAGTAGTGCCTAACCACGCCCCCTACTCGTCACTTCCGTCAGGGGAGGCAGCAGAAGGCGGAAGTGGGTTCGTGGGGCGGCTGCTGAGCTGAGGTGTCACTTATCCCGCGCTTCTCGGCACTTCCGGGTCTAGGCTTGAAGAATTCGGAGGCGGACTGCAAGACCGAGCAAGGGCGAGGGACAGATGGCCAGGCGGCGGCCGCGGGGCCTGGGAGGGTCTGGAGGTTGACCCAGTCCCGTCTTCTGCCTTCTAGGCCACCTCCTCCAGGCAGTCCCCGGGCTCTGCCCGCTCCGGTCCGCAGCATCCCGGACCTCAGGGCCGGTGTCTGTGGCCCCGTGACCCCCGAGACATACGGCCCCAGGCCCCTAGACCTATCACCATGACCGCGGCCGCCGCCTCCAACTGGGGGCTGATCATGAACATCGTGAACAGCATAGTTGGGGTCAGTGTGCTCACCATGCCGTTCTGCTTCAAGCAGGTGAGTCTGGTGGGACCGATGGTCCCGCCCTTGCCTTTGCCCACGGCGAAGGGAATATCTTGCCTGCTTCTCCGGTTTCCAGTTCTCTGCCCAACCGGGAGGGGTGTACCTAGGGTTGTAGGGAGGCGGTTCCACGGGGCATCTGTGGTTCAGGCGACGTCCTCGGGCATGTGTCACTGCAAGAACAATCAAGAGAAGAATTCCTCAATGAAAAACGCTGAGTTAGCGCTGGTAGAACCTTTGAGGCGTGGCCAGAAAGTTCCCCACACTTAAAAATTTTATATGGAACGGCAAAGTGTAACAAGCAAAGTAATCTTCCAAAAATGGAAAGTAACTCAAGGCTTTAGTATTATTTTATTTTATAGTATTATTTTCTAAAACTCTGACCGTACTGCACTTGTATTCAAGAAGCTCACAAGTCAACCCTCCCAGGCCTCAAAACTAGGTTGGGGTTACAAGGTGACACACTTAAGGTCTGCATTTCACAAACTGTGCAGATTTGATCTGATCTGATCTGTGCAAATTTTACCTCAATTGAAAATATCTGATATACAAAAGATTTGGTGTCATTCCAGCACTAAATGCCAAGTGAAAAGAAAGTGATCATTTCTAAGTGGGTTTTGTTTAAATAATCCACATAAATGGGCATTGGGTAGTTTGGAAAATAAGGGCTGATGGAAACATGAAATCAGGTAACTTCTTAAGACTCTATCTTAAGAAATGAACATGCCCACCTCTCCATCACATATGCTGTTCCCTGCCTCCTCTTCATGGGGGCTGCCCACCAGAGAGTTGAGCAGCTGGACCTCCCAGAGGGCAGGGAGTGGGGAAGGCGGGGAAGGCCCAGTGCAGCCACCAGTCAGAGCTGATGAAACCAAATAGGTAGAAAAATGAAAACAGGATAGCTATTTGGAAACTGAAAATAGGTACAAGTAGATTAATAGACACTTTGTGTTTTTTGTGTTTAGCATCTGTAGGATAAAAATATCAACCAGTTTTTTTTTTTTTTTTTTTGAGACAGAGCCTCAAGCTGTC